AGTTTTTAAAATGCGCAGGGATACATAATGTGACCCGTGGACATAATTAAATGACTAAGACAAACAAAATTTCCGGTTGTTATTCGTCGGAGGCTGACATCAGTTGGAGGAACAAGGGAAACCTGGGAGCACTGGACAGCTGCTTCATCATAGTATGTGACTCCTTGGTAGTGCGCACCCACGACCCCGCAAGGGATCAGATCCACGACCTCCAGATTCCCGGGCTAGCACACTACCACTGGGCGACTGGGTGAGAATCCAATGGTCCATATTTCCAACTTCTGTTAGCTCACGATAAAGCGCAACCGCCACCAAATGTCATCGTTGAGTAACTGTCTTCATGACCATCGGGCTTTGCCCCCACCGGCCACGACTTTTCATTGGAACCTTAGGAACACCTCTCGAAGCTGGTCACCAATGAGCACCAGTTCGAATGAATTTCGAGGAAGTTGTGAAGATTTGGAAATATTTCAAGTTGTTATTCATCGTAGACTGACATCGTGGGCTAACAGAAGTTGGAAATATGGACCATTGGATTCTCACCCAGTCGCCCAGTGGTAGTGCGCTAGCCTGGGAATCTGAGGGTTGCGGGTCCGATCCCTGGCGGGGTCGTGGGTGCGCACTGCCAATGAGTCCCATGCTATGACGAAACAGCTGTCCAGTGCTTCCAGGTTTCCTTTGTTCCTCCAGCTGATATCAGTCTACAATGAATAACAACTTGAAATATTTCAAGATCCCCACGGCTTCCTCTGGAAAGAAACAAAATTGTGGAATAACTTGATGCAGTGCTCGAGACAGAAAATCCAGCAGTCCTAGCACTGCAGCAAGCCCCTTTATTACAGTAAGCTACACTAATAAAGGTCACAAATACCCTAGGGGGCCGATTCGGGTTACTTCCTCACTTTTTGGACACTGGCATGAACTACAAAGAAATGGTTGTAAAGGTGACTTTTGCCGTACACTTCATTTGGAGGCCATCCGGAGCCCCTGCTCAAAACCCCTTCCTTGCGGTCTTCAGAACTTTTGCCAGAATGCACAACGTGGTTTTTGACATAATAGCACCCTTTCACTGACCAATCGAGACTTGAACCCCCTGAAAAACGTGCAGGGAGTAATACTGAAGTATCTCATCAGTCCAAGGAGCTAACCTCCTTCTGAGAGACTAGCAATTTGAATCATTCACCCTTAATAAACCAAGTAAACAAAGCAACCAGACAACAACTTCGAAGTTCGTTCACCATGTAAACCGGCCTAAAAAAGCCACTGCCAACCCAGCGTAGACAGTCGCATGAGAAACCGGTGAGAACAGGTCATCAAACAGCTAACGCTAGGATCAGAGCCGAATTCATTTCAATTAGAATCCGTAAACTACGACACGACTTACCAGAGGAAATTGCAGCGGCTATCTCAGAGGAATCCCTTGAACACTGTCATTAAAGCATGTCATAAAAAGCGGTGAGTTTCTAGCCCGGCAAAGCCTACATAACACTTAAATGTTGCCGAGTTAACGCCTTCACAATCTCGACTTCGCAGTGGTACTCAACGTTATCAAGCACAGATCCTTGTCTTCTCTTTTCGGGAATCGATCTTATGAGAACTCGAAGTGTGCTCGGACCGATCACTAGCTATTCATGTTTGTCATGCACCTGAAATTGCGAGATCAAGGTAGGACACAATAGAGTGGCCAGGTGGAATGGTAGATTTGATGGACTGTACTAAAATACCGATGCGTTCCGACAAACTAGCTAGAGTACCGTATACGAGCAATGAGGCGTAGCGCGACAGCGTACCCAGCAGCGTGGATGCTTGACTACGTAGCTTCAGCTTGATAAGTCCGGTAAAACCATGAAGGTCACCGTCAATGTTGGGTCTCATTGAACCCTATGACATTGACTTAGGCAATCATTTGAGGCCACGCCATTTCCACCAGGGATGAAACTACAGAAGACATCTTCACATCGTCCATCAGGGAAAAATAAGAGACATTGAACAGCATCCCCGAGGAAGCCTGCGTGGGATTGTTGCGTGTGTTTTAATTTTGTTCTTGTAATGTATTCAAAAACGTTGGCCGCTCATTTTGTTTAACTTCATTCAATTTGCTTGTACAAACATGTTTAACCACTTGTTTCGATTGGTGTTACAACTGTACTTCGTTTTAGATAGAAACTGAAGTAGCCGTTAAAATTGAAGGTTTGTAATTAAGTTTTGTGCATATGTTTTGTTTTAAAGAACAATTTTCGCAGAGTTCACTTACTGTTTGATTATACATTCGTTTTTGGCAATCAGTTGTTTTGGATTTTGTCGTCTTCGCGTTGGGTTTTGGGAACTCAAAAAATTCTTATCATCATTACGTGCTACACAGCGGATTTGGCGTAGCAGAAAGAACACTGGAACCCTTTAAAAGGGATGCGGAGAGAAACTTACATAACCGTGTTGGGAAGAAAGAAGAAGCAAGAAAGGAAATCAATCTCGATGGACACATTGAATCTGACAGGGAGGGTAGAGGAAGGTGGTGGAATAGGAGATAAACCAATATAAGGATGAGCGACGGAGGAGGGACCATACAAAACCCATAAGACACGGGACAACGAAGTGGAGAAGAGTGCGCGCGAAGACAAAAGACACTTTTACGACACATTGACAAGTGAAGCAAAACAGGCTGCAGGTAGGAGAGACAGAGACCTGACATCAATATATCAGATAACCAGGTTACCATCTAGGAAGGGGTCAACTCAGACGAAACCAGTGGGGGATAGTGAAGGAAACGTAATTTCCAGAGAGGAAAAACTGGAGAAACAATGGGCTGACCACTTCGTAAGACTCTTGAATCGACCACCACCACCACTTGCAACTCGTCCAGAAGTACCACAACCAGTGGCCCAGCTGCAGACTTGTCGGTGAACACAAGCCCTCCGACAAAATTTGAAGCCCTGAACTCCATAAGGTTACTGAAATGCGGGAAGGTAGCAGGACCACATGGAATTCCGCTGGAAGCACTGAAAACAGATGCTGAGAACAGCGGACATGCTCACACCACTACTGCAGAAGGTTTGCAAGGGAAGAAAGATACCTGCCGACTGACTGGAAGAAGAGCTACTTCGTCAACCCCAAAGAAGGGTGATCTAAGTCTTTGCAAGAACTGGTGAGGAATCATGCTTCTGTCCACCCAAAGCAAGCAAAATATCAGGCCGCATCATCCTAGAGAGACTACAGGATGCGCTGGACTCAAAACTATGACCGGAACAGGCTGGCTTCAGGAGGAACGAATTGTAACGCTACGCCACATATAGTCATAGAACAGAGCAGAGAATGGTGGTCAACCCTCTACCTCAACCTCATCGATTTAACAAAGACCTTGAACGAAGTTGACTGATGAGTAATTTGGCAGCTGCTTCAGCTATGCGCTTTTAGTGCCGCAAACATTTATCAACCTAATTCAACAGCAATATGCTATATGATGCTGCATGCCAAGTGATTCACAACAAAAGGATCAATGATGTCTTTGAAGTGATGACATGAGTAAGACAAGGTTGTCTGCTGTCCGTCATCGATCATCTTCTTGATTGTGGTCGTCTGAACTGGCTCATGTAACAAAATGCGAGGAGCGAGAAGATGGGCATACGCTAGACTGTTGAAAAATCCCAGAATCTTTAGATTTTCACCGACAGTGCTTTATGTCTAATGTCTCACAAACCCGGAGATCTACGGGCGAGAACCGACAAGTTGGTAGAAGAGGCGGGACAGCAAGAACAGGACTTCAAGTGAACGTAGAGAAAACAGAGGTGATGAAGATACCCAAATGATAACAACAACGAAACCTGCCCAGACAAAATCGTTTCCACTGAAGGCTGTGGCACAGATAAGGAGTCAAAGCCAGGATCGAAAAGGCAGCATGACAGGCCTTCATCAACCTGAAATCACCGTGGCGATCTACCGCACCGCACGCCACTCAGCAAAAGCATGAACAACATCCGGGTTTTAAACACTAATGTCAGCCAAGACAATACTTCTATGTGGTGGTCGACAGACTTGACGGCGCGTTGCAAAAAGCATTCCCAACAAACCACACACTTTCGACAACAGCTGCCTACACTCGATGCTGAATCCCAGATGGCCAGAATGAAAGGAATAAGCGGCAAGGAAATCTGGCTGGCTGGTAACCAACCAACCAAAGACCCGTTGCCCAGCAGGTATGCAGAAAAAAGTAGAGGTTGATTGGGCACATACTGAAGAGACCGATTAGGAACATAGCACGCCAGACCAGGTCCTCGAGTTGAACAGCAATGGAAAACGACGAGTTGGGCGTCTGAGGGTGATGTGGAGGATATGGTGCTGGGAAGAAACGAAAGTTTGTGGGTAGTGGTGAAGCCAGGTTGAAAAGACTGCAGAGAAGAGAGTGTAATGAAGACGCCCTACTGAAGCACTGTGTTCCACCAGCAACCCCTTTCTACTACATTTTAGGATTCGTCCTGGTGCGAATTTGACGGACGCAAAGACCAATCACTAATCATCCGAACTTGTTATATACTCACGAATACGAGACCAAGGAAGAACACAGTAGCGTAGTCGGATGGAATAGTGTATTTGGGTGGTTGTGCCAAGATACCGATGCCTTCCAACTAACTGGCTACAGGGTCGAATACGAGCAGTGCAACGTAACATGACAGTGTGCCAAATAGCGAGGATGCTTGAGCGGGTGCCTTCAGCTTAGCAAGTCCAGTCAAACTATCAAGGTCGGCACCAACGTTGAATGTTATCGAACCCTGGGCTATTGATTTTGGGGAAATGTCTGACGTTACAACATTAACCTTTTTTCGTTGACATATCGCCCTGTATTTTTAGTTTGCATAACACTGTGATGTGGAAAATATCGAATTATCGAAAAGAATATCAGTATTTCGGGCTGCTCCAAGGCTTTTTTACAAACCCGGTCTGCACAATATAAGGATTAAATACCCACAAATAGTCACATATTCAAGGGCTAAAAAATGAAAATTAAAAACGATTTCGGCAAACAGCAAAGGAGTGAAAGTGGGTAAAACGAACTCAACCTAAGACCCTCAACGTGACAGTTTATAATTTGTCGGTTCTCTGTATTGGACATTGGACTTGAAACTATTGGCATTTATTGCTCCTGTACAGCTATATCGCTACAATGCAAGGTACATCTTTTAGAAAAGCGTAATGTTTTGTGGCTTATTTGGTCTCAGTTAAGTGTTAACTTCATGCTTTTGAATGATCTTTTCACGGGAATGATCGATCGTTAAAATCAATTAAAAGGTCCGAAACCATCTGCTGACAGTCTGTATCCACCAGGCCTACATTTAAGAAAATCTAGATCTTTTTATTTTACATGTCTAGGGACCTTTCGGGATTCTTGTAGTGTCTTTTGTTGAGTGTCTTGTTTTGTCGTTTTTTATGGTTGTTAGTTTTTGTTTTGAAGTGTGTATTCTGTTATGATCAATCAACATTTTCTCGGAGGTATGCGGGTTATTTTAAGAACACGATGCAAATTGAGTGAAGCGTCGTTTTGCCCGACGAAAGTGTCGACTAGGAGGTTGCGGATTCTAAAATCTCGTAGACAACTTCCCCATGGTGTTCCCGTTATGTAGGATATGCTATGAGAGGGCTGTGATGAATAGTTGTCGAGTATAAATCGGTTAATACTAGTGGATGTCACACGATGTGGCAGTCCTGTCTCTTTCTGGCTTTGCATATTTTGCATGAAGCTATACTCTGTGGAGAGTGGGACTGAAGACCACTCACATGTCGTTTAGAGCATTATAGTGAGTTTGGACCAAGTATAAGATATAGGCAACGTCGTATGCCGTAGACTAGCTCATAAGCACAAAGTCTGAGGATGCCGTGATCGTAGATGAACAAAAGGTTGTTGGATGAATTATATCAAAAGCTATCAGTTTTACTACAGGAAGCAAAGCGTTCAGATATGGTCTTAGTAGTAGCCGAATTCAGCGCTCAAGTGGGAATGTTGAGCTAATGAGAAGGGTGTCCTGGAGGTATCTATGGTATCCCATTCCAACTAACGGATATTGGTATTCGTCTGTTGCATATACGTTGCATTTACCGTCACTGGTTTTAGGGATAGGCTCGCTTACTATCCGTCAAAATCAAACCAACAATGGATATATATTAACCGTATTGTCATAGTTCGTTGTCAGAGGATCAGTGGAAGGTTGTTGCTCTGTCTACTTGAGCTCTGACCACGTGGTATTCCGACCATGTGAATGTCTGCACTTTTGTGGTAACACTAAACGGGTAGCAGTGAAGCCTGTGTATGGGAGCTGAGTGCGTCAAATTTGTAATTAAGGAAAAGGTGGTTAAACTTCAACGTATTATGGGCAGCAGTAGACTGGATTGGAAAAATGTAAGCACTAGATTATGATGATTCATCGTATGTTTTATTTTCACCTGTGTAATCCTAGCATTGTATATTAAAACAAATTACAATATAAACAAATATTTTGTATTATTCCTCAACGTTTCGATGTTGCTAGGATCATTCTTTTCAAGATTTGAATGTTAACCTGAAAACTTAATTTCAGGTTTAGTATAATTTTTTTTATGTCATACCGTCGTTGATTGGACCGAATTGATCAGTCTCTGTTGGCATCCAGCTGACAAGTCCCAAATAGGACGAAATGCGCATCCTGGATCCCGCTGCTAGCCATGATCAATCACTAACAATTAGAACGCAGGCAATGTCGAAGCATCCGCACAGGAGCCTATGTGCCGATAAAGAACGATCAATTCGGTCCAGTCAACGACGGTATGATATAAAAACAATTATACTAAAACTATACCCGTCGCGCAAGAAGTGGCTATCATGGCTCGGTAGTGTAGTGGATAACCCTCTGGCGTTTGAAGCGATCGCTCCCGAGTGGGAATCCCGGTGGGAACAATATCACTCACTGGGAAGCAGGTACATTTAGCTGACGAGTCCCAAATAGGATGAAATGCACATCCTGGATTCCACTGGTGGCCACGATTCGTCATTAACTTAATTTCAGGTTCATACTTAAAAAGGATCTTCCTAGCAAAATCGAAAGGCTGAAGAATAATAATATTTGTTTGTTATTTGTCCCTAATATACTACGCTGGGATTACACAAGTGAAAATACACCTTATAAGATGGCTAAGCATTTATCTGGCCATTACACCAGTCCTCATACTAATGAAGCTTGATGTGATATTCTGTCTGCAGTCTACATCCAAAAATTAGCAAGAACCCATGGATTAAATATTAGTTTGAAGTCTTTCGTTGCTATACTTAACCAAGACCGATCTCCCCCAATAAGGATGATTATCCCAAACTATCCACCGAACCAAATGAATACGCGCTAAAGTGTATTGCTGTTTAATGGAATTATAGTGGGCGTTTAAAACCTCATAACCTTGTTTTATGATTTGATTCTTTATTTACCCATACTCTGTAGTACAGTCCTCTGATAGTAATTCAGGTGTTTTCCAAACTTTGTCGTGTATTTATTTTACTTCTTGTCATCCTTATCATTTGTTTTCCTGTACTTCATTTACCCTTAGATCTTGAAGTGATGCATGAAATATCTTTACTACACGCATCACCTTTCATTGCACTACCTTATGTTGGAGCATTTATTGGTCAACGGATAGTTTATAAAAATATGGATTGGTATGATACTGTGAAAAAACCATCGTTCGCACCTCCCAAATGGATTTTTGGACCCGTTTGGAGTGCATTATATGGCTGCATTGGTGCTGCCTCCTACCTGGTATGGAGAGATGCTCCACACGGGAAAGCTTTACTTCCTTTAGCTGTCTATGGAGCTCAACTTCTTCTCAACTGGTCCTGGACCCCTGTGTTTTTCGGACAGCATAAAATTAAATACGTATGTCATTTTTATTCAGCAGTGCGAACCTTTTTGAATAACGTGATTTACCAAGCATGTACAGGTTCATAAATTCGACCATGATATACATTTGTTGTGTTAAGTTTAGTGTTATCACTTACCTGCCTAAACCGCAATAGGCTGATTTATGTAAAAATTCTTGTCATTCAGTGACTGAAATTTGATCACTTTAATAAAGAAGCGAAAACTGCTGTACGCAGTAATGCCTGGTCCTATGTTGATATTCATTGATTGATTGACTATGAATGCATCCTGTTATTCATGTTTTCTTAAGCAGAAGAGATGTATTATATAGTTTTGTTCATTACATGATTTTTTCCACTACTTCTGACATAAATGTCTACGACAGCGAAAATTTTACGTTCGTATAGCATCTTTTGCGACTGATCTATTTTTGTTATGATTGCTGCTGCCTACAAGAATGTCATTGTGATTCGCGGCTTGTTTAGTGGAGTTGAGTGACAGTATTGACTAACTAAGTAGATCTTTAAATACGCTATTTCCTGCAATATTGACCGACGTAAAGAATGCAGCTATTGGCATTCTTGTTTATCAATCCTAGACGTGGCATTTTAAATCAGCACATCGAACCATAATCTAAAGCAGGAAAACAAAGTAATAGAATTAATGATCATAAATTATCAAAAAGAACATAAAAAGCGAAAAGGAGAAGCCATAAACAGAAAAAATTGTGTAGTCACAAGGTTTTGTAAATCTACATGAAGGTGAGGTGTGTAAACATCAGTGACAGTGAAGTTGATTTGGGGGGACAAAATCAGCTGAGATCTTTAACCATCTATCAAAGTTGTCACATTGATCGGAACCATGAATCCTACGCTTCTTTACATAGTTCAAGATATCATTTAATCGTTAAATAATTCGCGAGTCTCTCTTTCATCATCAGTTGAAGGTGGATGTTTTGGATAAGTTGGATAGTGTGTAGTCCTAATTAACACGTCAGCAAAGGAAAAGAGCTTTATTCCTTTTCTACAGTATTCCAACTACGTACATGTCTTTACCACAACACTTTGAATAGCGAGGTCTTAATGGATTGAACATCTAAGAAGATCATAGTGTATTTTGCATTACCAGTTTGGATATATTAATTGACAATATCACTTGTAAAGTGACAAGAAACCAGTATAAAGAAAACAAGATAATGAACCACACTTGATGTGTAACGACCAACTACACCACTTGGCTATCCAAACAGGATTCGAGTCAACGACCCACTAGTTTAAAGTCTTGTACGTAGACCGACAAGCCAAAGCTCCACTAATGATAAGAAACATAGTGTTGACATGTAAACGTTTGCCCAGCATGATCTAATATGACTTATTCATGTGATCTGGATGGGTCAGCAGAACAACCAATCGAAATAAATATGACAGAAACAGCCGGTCAGCCATCGGAACAAGCTACTAAGCCATTTGTGGAGAAAACAGCATAGCTCACCTCTTTCAGAAGTTTGTGCTGATGATGTCTAGGATGACGATAAAAACTTCACGATTAAGCCATCCAGTTCACGAAACACAACACCATTAACATGATGATGATGATGCGTCACTTACTTAGCAGTAGCTGGTGTCTCCTGTCGTAAGGTTTAGCTGAAGGCTTGGACATACGTTATGTATTCCTTTCCACTGCCTGCCATAACGGGTGACATTAATCAGAGTGAGATTAGCTTGAAGGAAAGCCAAGCGTGACCAGAGTAGCACCAGTCCACCTCCAAAAATTTACTTCACTTGATTTGGTCTCCATTTACCCATGACATTGGTTGTTCTGATATTAAAATAATTTAACAGTATATACATGTTATTGGCTATTATATTATACCTGTTTTCATGGATTTACAACCGTGGAGTCTAAGGACGGAGATTTTGAAAACAAACGTTCGCTCAATTCATTCTTGTTTTAAAAACTTGTGATTGCTGATCTGAGCCGTATCAGAAAGTTTAGACAGCCCTTTGAACTCCATGGTTAACAATATGAATAAAAACCGATCACAATAAAGCCGGTGTGCACACCTTTTATCACCTTTGAAGTTCATAACGTTTCACTAGCCTCTTCGACTTCAATACCATCCATTTTGTATCCACCAGCTCTTTCTGTGCTGCTTCTGCTGTGACTTGTGCCAACTCAAACCGAGGCATATGTGGAACACTTATTGCCTACACTTTCATAATTTAAAGATCCTCATAGATTATAAAGAACAGGAATAATTTCAGCGAACAAATGTGTTCAGTAACTTATTCTCACTCTACAGTTATAAATCCATGAGAATAAGTGAAATACCATATGCATTTAGATGTGTCGAGGGTCGGAATCCTGTCTTTCGCTGATTGCTGCAGTACCCTTTGGTGGTGCTGAGAAGAACGGGTTTGGCTGCGTAGTAAGTCCTCCTGATAGACTTCTCCAGTCCTCGTCTAACTACTTCTAGCACGTCATCACCTTTGAATGGCGAGGTGACATAGACTGGTTTCCTCTGCACTGTTGGGGACGTTGTTCTGCTCCCTACCCATTTTGCGTGCTTGTTGACAAAGCTTTCTGGGTACCCATTCTTCACCAGCACGCTTTTCAAAGTCACCATTTCGTAGTTTAGTGTGCTGTAGGAACAAATTTTCCTGGCTCTGTTACAGCGTTCTAATTACATTCACTTTGTGTTGGATCGGGACAAAGCTCCTAAAATGAAGGTACTGTTCTGTCCATGAAGGTTTCCTATAGATGGACCTTACGATAGATCCATCGATTCTTCTCACTAATGAGACATCTAAGAAACTGATCATATTATTTTCCTCGTGCTCAATCGTAAGGTCAGGTTTGGGTGACATGAATTGAAGCTCTTTAGTAGTGCTTCTGCCTCCGCTTCACTATTACAGACAATGAATATGTCATCCATGTAGCGCTGGTACAGTTCCGTTTGACCAATGAGGCGCTTCAAGCTACTATTTTCCAGACTGGATAAAAATAAATCAACGAAAAGGGGACCCAGAGGGCTTCCCATTGCGACTCCATCGGTTTGGCATAATAACTGTTCGTTGGACTGGAACTGAATGTTCTTGGTGCATAGACTTAAAAGCTTTCTCAACTCTTTTGTTGGGATAGGGATATTATCAGCTTCTCAACAGATAAACTCGATGGTTTCACCAACTGGTACATTTGTGAAGGGAGATACAACATCAAATGAAATAAGATGCTTACCAGTGCTATTGAAATCGGGGATGCTTCGAACAAATTGGAAGGTGTCAAAAACAGTGTGTTCTCCTAGACGTTTGCGCAATGGTTTGAGAATTCCGCATAACCACTGAGCTACTTTGTGACATGGTGAATTTATCATTGATAATATAGGCCTTAAAGGCACACCTGACTTGTATTTTTGCTCGTTCATGTAACTTTGGGATCTATGATCCAATTGTTTTAATGTTTTTAAATGTGGTTTCATCTAGGTATTCAGCTTTAGTCGCTCTACCATCTGCTTTTCAATACATTATGTTTGGCCTTTAGCATTACTATCCAATATAAATTTCGAGTTGTCAGAGAGAATTTCGTACATTTTTGTAACATAGTCTGTATTATTTATAAGAGTTACACATTCTCCCTTATGGAACTCAGAATAACGAGACCCTTGTTTTCTCGATGCTCACGTAAGGATCTCCAGTGTTCTTTAGAAATAATTCGTTTCTTGGTTAGAAGACGTTGTTCGAAATTGGTATGCAATATCTAACATCTTGGGTTTGAACCAATTTGGTGTTTAGCTATCCTACACCTCATGGCAGTGAAAATTGGTTTAAATCCAAGATGGTAGATATTGCATACCAATTTCGAACAACGTCTTCTAACCCAGATGGTTGGGGCATGCCGAGAAGAAGACCCGAGGTCCTTTATAACGAAGCACCCAATAGACTATGGACGTGATATTGGTACCTGTAAGTCCCTTTATGGTTGTAAGTAGACAGCGAAATAAGAAGTCGCTTGGATATTCAGAAGCCTGCTTGGTTCGAGTTGTCAAACCAAGCCTCTGCATTCGGAAGGAAATGGTTGTCAGCTCGAATCTACCATGTTAGGAATGACAACATTGTCTAATCATATTTAATGTTTCTTATTTGCTCTTCGCTATTAATTACCACCCATCTGATACTTTGTTTTCCTTCCCTGATATTTTTCGTCTGGTTAACCTTATTCCTATTACCAATGTTATCATTATTATTTATCTAAATATACATCTGGTTTTCTTATTATATCAGCATAAGTGCTATTAACTATCTTGTTTCGAATGGCGTGATCTGCGTTCAATCGTTCCAGTTTTCACCCCTGTGTCACATTATTATTGTTATTATAATTATTTTCCTACCTGAAATCCACTATCAACAAAACCCAATTAACCTATATGTAATTGTTTTTATATTATACCGTTGTTGATTGGACCGAATTGATCGGTCTCTATTGGCATATGGGATGCTTTGCGGATGCCTCCGTATTACCTGTGCTCTCACGATAATATTGATGGTTAGTGGCTAGCAGTGGAATCCAGGATGCGCGTTTTGTCCTATTTGTGACGCGTCTGCTGGATGTCCCGAGTCCGAATCCTGGGGAAACATCACTCACCGGAAAGCAGGTACATCCAACTGACGACTCCCAAATTGGACGAAATGCGCATCTTGGATTCCACTGCTAGCCACTATCCATCAATACTGTCAACTTACATATCCCCAACCCATTCAATTTCGAATATCCATTTCTCTCCTTTGCATTACCATTTGACCCGTGAAAACTGTTCACTTCTATGTTGTTACTCCTAAATCTGTCTCAGTCTACTTTATATATGTATGTATGTTCTTTTCCATCACTTAACGGTATATGTAATCAAGTATCCAGCTGACGAGTACTATACTATACTGAGACAGTCAGTGTTATGGGTGAATGGAGATCAAAGCGAATGGAATCGTGAAACTGTCATTGACAGTAAAATTATGAAATGACGAGACAAAATCTATAGACGATGATTCTGAAATAGTGGAGAATATTTGTAGCTCAGGTGGTTGGTCTTGGTTATATTGTGTTCTCTGAACTGGATTATACAACGCAGCTCAGAGAACACAATACAACCAAGACAGATGATGATTCATTTGTATACTTTTATTGGGGCATGGACGTGTGTGTGTCTGTTTACTGAGGGTCAAATAATAATTAGGTAGTGATGAGTTATATTCAATTGGGGTGAAAGTCATGTGAATGCTATAATGAAATAGAGAATGACACAAATGTGAAGTATTACATCATGGTTGAACATGACTACAGGTTGTGGTATGAATAAAGAAGGGCACAAAACTAATAACTTTAGGAAATGAATGTTCATGAAAGTACTGACAATATAGTAGAAAGTGATTGGAGGTTAAAATGTGCAATTAGTTGTAGGAAAGTTGATAAAGAACGTGTCGATCCTGTTGTGGGCCAAGGTGAACAAAGTAGATATACATATTTCTTTTGAACACATAGGTCTGGTTTTCTTGGGTTGATCCCTATGGCTTCGGCTATGGATGATAAGATGCGAAGTCATGCACCTATAGGGAGATTGCAAGTGACACGGTATATCACAGAAAAGGTGTGATCAACTTTGATCTGGTGTCGGGTATCTACTAGATGTGAGGGGATTGCACAGTTGATGCTCTTTATCATTCCTTTCCCTAACCAAGATGGCACATGTTCACGAATGTGCATGGATAGAGCCTTTTAGTCGTGAAAAAATTGGCAATCTACACTTCATTGGTTTAGTTGCCTAAACATTCGAATGTATTGAGATTTAGTCTTATTCCACATTTATACTAATTCTCAGTTCAGAAGATATTCTTTTGGTGTAAAAATCATCTGTGATAGAAGATGCTTGGTTAGTCTGCTCATTTTTGTTTCCCTATTCCTTCACCATTGATCTTCTCACATACTTATTTCTACTTGAAACTTCTTTTTAGCATGTGAAGATTTTTTATAGTGGTAGGAAATAAGATATCTAGTGTCATCACTGTCATTCTTTCTTCTACAATCTGATTTTAACCATGTGAACTACTCTTTGTGTATATCCCATATTACATTGAGTTTTTTTAATGAACAGCTTTTACTTAATGGATACATTAGTTTCCTTGGACCAGTAGAATTCGATCAGTATTATATATCATGGAAAGCTACTCTGTTAGGCTTATAACTATCGTTTATTGGTTTTTAGATTCAGACTTCAACCACTAGTGTGGTTGAATAAATCACATCGCCTTTAGCGTACTGATCAACAGATATATTATTACAACATATGACTTGAGATTATTGCTTATTGGTTCAAGTTATCCTACCTGAAATCAGTACAGAAAATAGAAGGGTTATGCGAATAACTGAAAATACTATAATCAGAAGCCTCAAAAAGCTTTAAAGCGAAAATAAATAATAAATCCGATAATAAGAATGTAATGCAGATACGGCATGAATACGTCTTCACCACTGAAGCCAAATCTCTCATGGAAGTCTGCTGGTGTCGGTTATGTCCACCTGGCGAACAATGACTAGGCAATCTATGTTGCTCAAAAATCCACAGTCAACAACTTATTGGATTAGTTTCATATTTCATTTTAACCACGCTTCAAGGCACCAAAGTTCCCATAATCGTGTAATATAATTTACAGGCACATAAAGCAGATGTAGTTCATAGTTTAACTCAGGAATATGTAGATATCTATCAACTATTTACGGTGGTATTATGGCCATCAGATAACACTTATAATCGATGTGCACTGTACTACTATTAACTGATTGATTCATATACCTCTATAGTTTAAATCTACCTTGTAAATTATCTTTTTTTAAAAAGGTATTTTCTAACTATTTCCTTGATACTTATTTGTAAACAGTAGTTTATAATATGATATCATAAAGTCGTTTTCCTATTTCCCCATATGTATTGTTTTCAAGGGAGCTGCAGTAAATTTGGGCGTCTTTGGTGGTGCTTTAGCATGTGTATATTTATTCCGGCCAATCAATATCAACGCCAGTAATCTAATGATTCCATATACTATGTGGCTTGCATTCGCTTCACTTATAAGTGTTCGTGTTGCTATGCTGAATGATGATGATGATGATGATTAACTTGAATAGTATATACTATCAAATATCTTTTAAAGAAAAAAACTATCGAAAAAGGAAAGCATAAATGTATCAAACTACAAATAGTGATATTATTTTTATGTAGGAAAATTATACTTCAAATGAATTCCTGTTCTTTTATTAGTTTAGCTGGTCATAATTTTGTGATGTACGTCACATTTTTGATTGAAACTCAGGGATATTAGTTTTTTTTGGCTGTTTCATATTTCATACTAATAAATAAATAAATAAATACGAGTTTTAAACTTGTTTTATTCCCCAAAATGTTTGTGTATAGATGTGCAAAATTAATAGAAGTGATGTTTACGCTTTATACATTGATATCTGAATGAACTCGATGATAGTAGGATAACTTGTGTAAACCACAGTTCGCAGATTTCAAGACAAAAATAGGTAGACAAACAGAAGGAGTAGCTATGGGATATGCAATATCCTCAATCGTACTGGCCATATTTATGGACAGTTGGGAACAGATGACACTTGAAACATTCCTATCCACCCCAGAAGTATGATAGCGATATGTAGATGATACATTTACTGTGCTGAAACCAGAACATATCCAGAGTTTTCCCACACACATTAACTCGATAGAAAAGATGTAACCCAACTTACTTATGAATTAGAAAATGTAGAAGGAGAACTACCTATATTGGATTGCTAAGTCAACATGCGAGAAAATGGAAGTTGAGTGAACAATGTTTATAGGAAACTAACATATTTGAATAGATACTTGGACTTCACATCACCTCATCCCATATCTGTCAAAGTAGGTTTAATAAAATGTTAAAGTAGTAGGGTTAGGAGTTTGCCTAGTGAACCAGAAAACCTAAATAAGGGACTGAAACTCTAAAGCGACACTACCACTTAATAAATACCCTCCAGAATTGATTAAATAGTTTATAAGGACAGATAAGAGAAGGAGTGATAATATTAGTGATAACTGGAACATGCGTAAGAGGGAATTCAAATCCTCTATAGTGTTGCCATACAAAGAAAACACATCGGAAGTTTTGGGTAGAATTCCTAACAATGCCGTGATTAGAATGGCATTTAGATCCAGAAACTTTGTAGGCTGGAAGATCCAGTAGAGCCAATTAAGCGAGATAACCTAGTCAAATATCATCTATTGATTTTGAGGTCAAAGCAGCTGATTAAGGTTGATCAGATAAGTAATTTAGAAAAAAATTTGACCCTTGCTGTGTATTCACTGACGTATAATCACACTACAATGTGATGGGATATGGTAACAGTTGTAAAATCCAATATAGAGATTGATCACATAGTCTTTGTCCATTAAATCAACACCTAACGGATGTAACAGGAATAATTCATCACGTGTTGCAGATTCGTGGAAAGTTTTACTACTATTAAGATAGAAAAGAAAGAAGAACTATTGGATCGCATAAGTGAAGTTTGAAAGTTGTATAGTTTATTTGAAGTGAACAATGAAATTTGCTCGAAACGTCATCCGGTAAATGATGCTGTATCACTGTGTACTACATCAAATAAAGAATCGAGTAGGGAATTATACTCTACCACAGCCCCGAAGTTTTTCCCTTACACTATATGGCCTATTTTGTTGTTGTTACCACTGAGTCAAGTTGATGTGTATTTCTGCCAAACTGATGATTCATATAGGTTGAATTGTAGCGAAACAACTCAAGTATACTGACGTAACAACCCGAGATCTCGGGAAAAAAATCAGATGGTTCGAGTCGACCATCGAGTCTGTGGACACAATTAGTTCGTGAGCATTAAAGCAACAAGGGCTACCTTGTCAAACTCCCAAAGAAGGGCGACGTAAGTCTTTCACGAACTGGCGCGGAATCATGCTGCTGCCACCCTAAGCAAGCAAATTATTAAGCTGCATGATCATGGAGAGACTAAACGATGCACTGGATTCAAAACTACAACCGGAACTGGCTGGCTTCAGGAAGTACAAATCATGTGCGGACCAAATTGCAACGCTGCACTTCGCACCATCATAGAACAGAGTATAGAATGGCAGTCAACTCTCTACCTCAATTTCATCGACTTTGAAAAGACCTTCAACAGTGTCGATGGAGAAGTAATTTGGCAGGCAGTTGCTTCAACACTACAGAATGCCACAAACCTTTATCAATCTGATTCAACAGCTGGGTATATGAAGACGCCACATGTCAGCCAAGTAATTCACAATGTGAAGCTCATTGATGCTTTTGGAATGAAGACAGGAGTGAAACAAGGCTGCCTACAATCACCCATGATATTCTTGATTGTGGTCGACTGGATTATGTAACAAAATGTGAGGAGCGAGAAGATGGAAATATGCTGGCTGGATCGATGAAAAGAGCCTAGGAGATTTACATTTCGCCCATAGCAATTTATGTTTAATGTCGCACAAACTCGAAGATGTACAGGCAAAAACCAACAAGCTGACAGAAGAGGTCAGGCGGCGAATACGGGACTTCAAGTGAACGTGGAGACACAGGTGATGAAGATAACCAACAACAAACACCAATCACCATCAGCAGGAGAAACCTAAAGTTAGTAGTTTCTTTCACCTATCTAGGCAGCATCGTTTCAACTACTGGCGGTGGTGGCACAGATGTGGACATCAAACCCAGGATCGGAAAGACAGCAAGAAAGGCCTTTATTAACCTGAAATCAGTATGGACATCTACCGCACTCCACTCAGCATAAAGCGTGAACAACATCCGGATTTTAAACACTAATATCAGTCAAGCCAATACTTCTATGTAATGGTTGGCAGACTTGGCGGCGCGTTACGAAAAGCATTTCCAACAAACTGCAGACATTCATCAACAGCTGCCTACACTCGGTGCTGAAGATCAGATGGCCAGAAGAAAAAGCAACAAGAGACTTTGGCTGGCGACGAACCAACCAAGAACCCATCGTTCAACAAGTATGCAGAAGAAAGACGATATGAATTGGAGATAAACTGAGATCATTCCGGGACATCACTCATCAGGTCAGGTCCTCGAGTGGAACCCGCCTGGGGAACGAAGAGTTGGGCGTCCGACACGGGAGTGACATGGAGGAGATGGTGTGAGGAAGAAATGAAAGCTTGTGGGCATTCGTGGAGCTAGGTGTTAGAAGACTGCAGAGAAGAGAGTGAAATGGCGATGTGTTACTGAAGCCGTATGTTCCACTAGGAACCCAAGGGAAAACTATGCATACATAACTGTCTATTGACCACGTTTAGTACTGAATGCAATAGGTGTATTTCCGTGTGAAGATGTTTAGTCTGAGTTAAATGCTTCATACCTTTAGGTGAAACGGCCGAATCATTGCATTTTGTCATGAATGATCAGTTTATTAAGCGAAGGTAATAAGCTGAAGAAAACGGATCTACCTATTTAGACAGATTTTGTTTCATACTTTTTTTCCAGATGAAGAGTTCTTGATTAGTCAAGTTGACAAGGAAATGCGAATATGTGTACAAACTGCTTTTAGTGATAGAAAAAACAGAAAACTGTAGTCACATGAGTTAAAATGTTACTGATTAGTGATTACATCACTCTCAAATTGTTCACTTTGTTGTCATTGCTTGTAACAGGATATATATTTCCACGTATTGAAAGTAGTTATACTTTATGAATAATTTACTCCAAACTTATTAAATGAAATACTTTTTAGTTTCAATTCCCTGTGATCTCAACTATGCTTTACGAGTTCATCTTTTGCATATACCGTGATCCTAGTCTATGCTCAGAAGATATTCGTGTAACTTCTCTTTCTTTGCCTTGGTCATCTGCATAATTTATCTACACCAAGACCACATTCCTGCCGATTACCACTTTAGTAAACCTTCTAGCTTGGTGGTCACATTTTAAAATGATCAAGAGAACTCAGTCAGCACTCAAGACTAGACAACATGAAGTTAGTTACTCTGCAGGAGGTCGGTCGCGACCGGAATAGCTCATTGGTAACATCTCTGACTGGAACACTGGGTGACACAAGTTCGATTCTCAGAGGGGATATCAATTCCCTTGAGGTTTCAGATACGCTTTGCTGACGAGTCTTAACAGGCACGAAATCTAGATTCATTAGGGCTTCTTACATACTGCCTCCAACCAACTGAGATCTTACTCCCCTTTGCTCATCTCAGACACTATTATTATTACTATCACTGTAATAGTTCTAGCTATCTTATCCTTCCTTCTTTGTTTCTAATTATTCCTGTATAATTACTGTCAAGAACTGACCAATTGGCAGTCATTCATTGTCTTCCTTTTAATCACAATTATGAAAGAAATATCACTTCTGTAATAACCCGTTTCAAATTTCACAAGGTTACATTCTAATCATTCTATCACCTCAGTACTGTTGTAGTTTACTTGTTTAAGTATAACTCCCTGTCATCTTACCGGGCATCTGCCTTCTTTCTCTCATCAGTAAGTGGGTCATATATTCCATCATTTCTTCACCTACGGAATTGTGAGTAATAAGGCAATACTTTAAGCTACCACTCAGTGAGGATGTAAGTCAATCTAACATAAAGTTTTGTGTCTTGTTAATGAGTTACATTTCTCTCTGTAAATGACCTCCTCTGTATGATTTTTTAAACATTGTCAACTAGTGCTCTGTCAACTCTGCTACTTTTGGAATTGTTAGAGAATCATTGGAAATTTGTGTTGGTCATGGCTAGTTGTTGTGAAAAACATCCAGTTTACACTGTCTTGATAAAAAGGCTGTTTCAAAGGATAGGGTGAACTATTCAAAACGACGCATATTTCCAACTGAAACTCTGTTGACATCACAGTTGGGCAGTTGGAAAACTAATGAGCTGTGAGAAATGTCGACATGGACTGTTCAACTTGCAAATAGACCATTCTATTTAAGGTATGCCGGTCAATCCAAGTTAGCTAGTCAGATTCAATTGATTTGAACAATTCACCTCTGTAAGTTGGATTTTTGCGAGTACACTGCTGATGACCTCGACTCCAAACGAGCGGATTGGTTGTATGCTGGTTAAACTACTTTCATCTGACTATCGAAATCTACAAATTATCGTGAGTGATTTGTAACTATTTATGTTGTTCAGTAGCATATTTAGTTGTACAGCTTTGTAAGATGCAATAACATCGATTTTAAGCGTCTGAAATACTACATAATACTAACACTTGATCGTCAAATGGTAGTTTGATTACTTCAAGATTAAATTTGATGAATGTCTTTGAAGATTCTTTTATACTATTTGTGTTTACTAAATACAGATCCAACCGCGTAAGTATTCACT